CAGCTTTCTCCATAGTAGTTCAGTTTCTTTAGCCAAAATTGCAATTCTCTTCTTTCTGCTTTTTACATTTGATGACAAACTTTTGAATCGATCAATGATATGCTGTTGGCATTTTATTCATTTCTACAATACTTTTAACAATGGCACATCTACTTGAAGTCTTAGCTTTTTCAAACCTCACTATATTTAATTCCCAAACTTTCTTATTCTTTTTTGAAGAAAGACTATTTTTTAACCATTTTTGTATGTCCATTATATTATTTTTAACTCATTAGAATAACACTAAAAAGATAGGAAAAATTATTTTTAGCTTGGGGGGTGATCTTTTTCAAAAATTAACATTAAAAACTTATATTTTCTGTTTATAAATATAATTTCTCTACTCATGGTGGCATGGGGAATTAAAAATTCTTAAAAAGAATTTTTAGTCATACCCCTAATGTTTATGTCATTAAATAGTGTTATGATATTATTGTTAGACAGAAAAAGTTTGTGTCATCAGCAAACATTACTATTTTTAAATTTGAGGCATTATAAAGATCATTAATATAAATCAGAAAAAGAAGTGGTCCTCGTATGGACCCTTAGGGGACACCACATATTATACCTAGTAAATTTATAGCAGAGGATTCATCAATTTGCACATACTGTTTACGAGATAGCTCTTAAGTAATTTTAAAAATTATCACAGATTTCATAATTTTTTAGTTTTTTAATAAGAATCTCATGATCTATCGTATTATATATATATATATATATATATATATATATATATATATATATATATATATATATATATATATATATATATATATATATATATATATATATATATATATATATATATATATATATATATATATATATATATATATATATATATATATATATATATATATAATATATATATATAATTTTTCATTTGGTTATACTTTTCATTAGATTGCAATGTTTCAACTTAGAGATGATAATGCCGCATAGCGGCAAAGTAACTTTCTGCTGAAAGACCGACTTTTTAGGGAAAAGCGGAAACCTTCGGCGGTGATTTCCCAATAAGTTTTTAGCGGGAAAATATTTTTTCTTTCGACTTCAGTAGCTTCCGTCTTTGTATTGGTGGCCGCAGCCAGAGATTTTTTTTGGAAACAATATATTTTGGCGCCAACAAAAACCATTTAGGAGGCAAAAATAGTTTGGAGGTTATCTCCAGTTGCTTCTACCTCCCTGCTAGCTGCGGCTATCAATTTCGAGGCATAAATATTCGCCTTCCGCCGACGGATGTAATAAAAAAAATTTCTAGTTTTTAACAAATGTTACAAATTTTAAAAACTTAACTTTTGATTAAAATAATAATTTCGTTGGAATAGTTTTTTTTGTTGGAATGGTTGGAATAGGTGTTTTTGTTGGAATGGTTGCTTTTGTTGGAATGGTTGTTTTTGTTGGAATAGTTGTTTTCGTTGGAATGGTTGTTTTCGTTAGAATGGTTGTTTTCGTTGGAGTAGTTGTTTTCGTTGGAATAGTTGTTTTCGTTGGAATAGTTGTTTTCGTTTGAATAGTAGTTTTTTGTTGGAATGGTTGTTTTCGTCGGAATGGTTGTTTTCGTCGGAATGGTTGTTTTCGTTCAGAATGGTTGTTTATGGAATAAATGCAAATAAAATCAAATAAAAACGAAAATAATTTTGAATAAATTAATAGTTTCATACTTAAAACGAATGTTAAATATAGGAAAATTTAATTAATATACCTTAGGCGAAAAAATTATTTTGAAAAAAAAGGGTTTATAATAAATAATTAAATTGTCTATTTATGATATTTTGTCGCCGCTTAAACTTTCATTTTACGACCATACATAAAATTCTTAACTTTATAAAGTTAAGAATTCCAAAGATTAAATAATTTAATCATTAGATATTAAAAAATCAATTGAAAAGTACAACATCCGTTATATTCGTTATTCGTTATTATTTTTATAAAAGTTTTTAATATTCGTTAAAAATTGAATTCAATTTTTCCAATATTAAAAACTTTTATAAAAATTAAACTTGTTTTTAAAAAATCATTTTTTAAACCTAATTGAAAATGAAAAACGTGAATTAGTCTAGCCATATAATATTCTATGGATAGTTTTTTACTAATATAAATTCTGGTGTAGTATGAGATTATTACTTATAATTTATTTATTTATTTTTCAAAAGTTGCAAAGTATTATTATCATTTTCTTTTTTCTTTCAAAAGCTGCAAAGTATCTTCATCAAGTTCTTGGACATATTGTACATGTAGACGCATTGCCAATTTTCCATCAATCATTGTTAAAAAACGTTCCTGTTTCACTTGTATTTATTTACAACTATTGTTAACTATAAATGGCCGTAAAGAGTATATTTGGCTTTTTATTTAATCTACAAAAACCTTAGTTTTCTCAGGAGTCTCTTTGCAAAATTCTATTCATATAGGTTGACACATGTGTACAGACGAAGGAGCCGGATTTCGCGAAACAACTACGCCAGTTACCTCACCAACTAATCTGATCGGAACCAAAGAAATAATAAATAAATTTGAATCAGAAATAAATTCAAATTCTTCTGGATGTTATTGCTTGTACTTGCTTTGGCCAGAGTATCGCAACCCCATTTACAAAATTAAATGTTTAAGTTTATTATTGTACACGGAATCTATAGTCAAAATTCTATCTAGAGTGTGATCCTGCAAATCTGGCAGTTCCATAATTGTTGTAAGTGTGTTCGTAATTTCTATTGCAAAAGAAGGTGGATAGTGAATCTGTTTAATTTCTTGCAACTTGTAATATGGTGAGAATAAGGAACAGTTTTTTTCGTCTGTGAACTTCCTCAAGTACAAATATTGCGCTTTAGTTAAATCTAAATCAATAAACACGCTGAATGCTTCTTTATCCGTCAGTAAAACGTTTGTGTTTTCTAAAAAAACTCAAGACAGAGATCTTTTTTTTCTTTTTCGGCAATCCTTAATGCTTCTACAAGTTTTGCATCTGTTTCTTCTCCTATTGAACGTAATGCCTGAAGATATGCATTAAAGATGTGCTCGAATCCAATTTCCTTAAGTAATCTGGAATTTTTTCTTTTTTTAATGGTCTCTGACAAATCTCCATAAGACATGCACAGTCTTCTACGTTTTTCAAATGATGTAGATGGCGTGAGGCCTGTTATTCGTTTTTCGATTTTGGTAAAAATGCACTATATTCAGAATCTAACCAATTACTGGTGTTAGATAATAAAGCTTCCACTTTTCATGACGCCTTAATCCATCGTTTATTAAACGACGAATAATGTGCCTTTGAATATCACTAACGATGAAACACAAGCTATCCTGAAAAACTAGATAATTTTCTTTAAAAATTATTGATAGTGTCTCAATTGACCTTCCTTAATTAATATAGAAAGTAAGAGTTTACGTTTCGAACACTTAAAAATTGTCATTTTAAAAAGTAACTGAAGTATTTAATTTTCACTGTTTGTTGCAGTGAAATTTTTCAACTCTTTAAATATTATTTTTTAAATGAAGTGTTAAAAAATTGCCGATAATATTTTCACTACAAAATGCAAAAATAATAGAATACATGTCCATCAAAATTAATTCTTAATAAAAAATTGACAAAAAAACTTACGCAAAATTATTCTTATAAACAGATATAGTCTGAAACCACGATAACTTTTAAATAGAAAATAACTTTTAAAGTGAAAAGCGAATAAGTTTCATTTAAAACAAAAATATACGAAACAGTAGGACTTCAAAAAATATATTTTTACATAAAATTAGCCTAAATTGCTACATTATAGTAAAGATTAAGTATTAAACTATTAAAAAGAATTAAAATATAATTTTAGTAGTGAAATTGAAATTTGGGGAAAAAACATTTATGGTACGTTTTTGTAGTACTATTTTTCACAGTGCGTTTTTACGATATATATGGATCAACGTTGGTTCATTGAACCAACGTTGATCCATATATATCGTAAAAACTGACGTTATATAATCCAACATTAATCCATACACATTAGATTAACGTTACGTTATAAACATTGGATTAACGTAGATCCATATACATTGTATCAACGTTGATCTCTATACATTGAATCAACGTTGGGTTTAGATCGGAAAAACAACCAACCTTTGCGATGTTTTTACATACGTTGGACCAATGTAATTTTGCTAACCATTTTTAATCACTTTGTTATTAAGGTTTTTATTAATATAAATATGATAAACTAAAATTAAATCAACGTTGTATTCATCGGAGAAAACAGCCGACGTTTGCGATGTATTTACATACGTTGGCCCAACGTAAGTGTACTAGCTGGGTACCAGTTTTCCTTTAATTGTTGTTTATTGAAAATTATACTTTTTTTATTGTTTATATATTTTAAAGTTTTATATAATATGTGAGTTAATGCATACATAAGTATGCATTGATACATTTTAAAAATTTTATAATTAGAGAAATCTTTTATACGATCTTGCCACACTTTGACACACTGTGCAAAGACGAAAAATACGCGCTACTAAAACACATACAACATATATAGTTAAGTCGCAGTTTATTTTAAACTTTTAAAAGTTTATAAAATTTTAAAGTTTTAAACTTTTAAAAGTTTAAAATTTTAAAGTTTAAAACTGTGACTTGTCTTTTGGTAGCGCGTATTTTTTGTCATTGCATTGTCAAACAGTTAATAGATCAAGAAAATCTAAAAGGCCTCAAGATTAAAGAGACTTTAAGAAGACCAAAAAGCACCATAAAGTTTCTCGGTAAAGAAATTATTTTTTGTAAAATGCTATTTTGGGGAGAGGAAAGATTTCCTTAAAAGTCATTTAAAATACTTTAAAGAAAAGTACTCTTAGAAAATGTTGCAAAAGGTATTCATTAAACTCTCTATAATTCCCATCATTTATTAATTTCCTATAAATCATGGAAACAAATATGAAATAACAATAACCCATTAGATTACTGTTCTAATTAATCAACTAATTACCTTTCGAACTACATTTAGTCCTTGGTCATAACGTGTATAAATTCTTTTAACGGCAATCTCTTTACCATTCCCTTTATTTTTACCGAGATAAACCTAGAATGAGTGATTAATTATAAAAAATGATTAAAAAATAAACCAATTAAAATAAAATTTAAATTACCTGTCCAAAAGCACCACACCCGAGCAGTTTACCAAGTTCCCATTTACGGGGTATGTCTTGATGTTTGTTCTTTATGTTCTAAAAGATTTTTATTTAATGATTAATACAAACATAAAGCAAACAAATATATATATATATATATATATATATATATATATATATATATATATATATATATATATATATATTAGGGCTGTTCAGTATGCTAATTTGTTTTCAGAACATAGCTAATTGAATTTTTTCCCATTCAACTATCATATTGTGGTTCAAAAATATTTTTTACTAAATTTTATTATTTGCCCTGAAGGTCCCTTAAAGCCCCTAAACATTTGACAGGTACCTAATATTATTGAAAAAAAAATTATTTAAAAATATGTCAACTTGGTACTCAAAAAAAGCAAAATCATTTAAAAATTTCAAAAACAAAAAGTATATTTTATAAAAACAACAATATTAGGTTTTTTTAAATAAAAACTATGGTTTTTAAACGAAAAATGAAAAAAAGGTAATATTCAGAACATTTTTAATAATAAGTTTTTTTAAGTTGTTTTTATAAAAAATGAATCTAATTTTTAAAATTTTTATAAAATTTTGCTTCTTTTGAGTACCAAGTTGACATATTTTTAAATAAATATAAATAAAGGGAGATTTACTTTAATTGGAATACTTTAGGAATAAATATTTATTAACTATAGATAGCTTAACTATGAAAACATTTATGATTTGATTAATACAAACAGATAACCCTACTACACTATTAACCATAATTTGACTTTATTGAATGTACTTTTATTCGAAATAAATTTGTTTTTGCAAAGCTACCATTTTGTTCCGATCAAGGCAACTGGTTCCCTAAATTGGAAAACTTTGATTCCTTAATCAAAACAGGTTTTTTTTTTTTTTAAAAAAAACAACAACAGTAAAATCAACAAAAATTGATTTAAAATGATTTTTATCTTTACAGCGAAAATTTAAACAATTCATTCAAAATTTATAATACGATTAATACGATTAATATTACCCTGATAAACTGAAAGTCTAAAACAAAAAGTTGTATTAAAGCTTCAACTGTCATGACGTTCTCTTAATTTATTGATTAAAAATCACTAAATAAAGTATTATTTTCTAAGGTTTATGATTGTTATTAAGTATTTTTAAATTGTGCTTAAACTATTTCTACAACCCTTTGATTTTATTACTGATTAAGTAAGGAAAATCTTATAGTTCGATTCAAGGAAACGTATGACTATTTTGTTATATCTCTGCAATATCATACTTGCAGCAATTTGAAAGATAAGTTTATATTGTTATTTTGCATTTAAATCCAATTAAACACAAAAAACCGTATAACCAATAGTAGTATAGTTTACCAGCGCAATCAATATAGTGTGAATACAAAATTAGATCTTCGAAAAAAACTTTTAATCAATGGTGAACATGCAGTTTTTAAGGAATAGCTTTTAAAATGTGTAAAAACGTAGAAAACAACGCGTATTACTTCTACTTTAAGTTTCTTCTGCATCTTCAGGAAGCTTCCTGAAGATGTTAATGGAGAAACTGATAGTAGAAGCTTAAGTTAGATAAATGTTTTTTTACTAATTTATTATATAATTATTGATTCGCTCCATCCATGTTTACAAGTTCTTTTGACTCACTTATGTAGGTTCGCACTTATGCAAATTTGCATTTATTCAACTGCTTCGCACTTATGTTTTCCACTTATCTCCGTGTTAGCAAAATCTATCAAAATTAAAGACACATTACACAATAATGAAAATAATTTTTTTATAAATATTACGCAAGATATCTTTAAAACCCTATTTATTTTACGCGTAATATTTATTATACTAATTTAATGATTATTACAATTTTATTTTTATATTTAAAATCGTTACCTTGCGAGCTGTTTGCAGCATTGCAACAATATCCCAACTATCACCAGATATTGCAATATCTTCAGCAATGCGCCCACCCTATAAAACCCAAAAACTTTACTTAAACGCATGAAATATATTTTTATTCTACCTCATATTCTAGTATTTAAAAAATAGTTAGCTGTTGTGGTGAATATAATTAAAATAAATATAAAATCAATTATTTAATTTTCATCAAACTATATTAATAACCTTTGTTTTGAAATCAAGGTCAGCTCCATAGTTAAGTAAAAGTTGAAGAACTTGCTTATGACCATATTTAATTGATAAATGCAGAGAGGTATACTGGTTCTGGAACAACAATAATAATAATAATAATAATAATAGCAATAATAATAATAATAATAATAATGATAATATATATATATATATATATATATATATATATATATATATATATATATATATATATATATATATATATATATATATATATATATATATATATATATATATATATATATATATATAAAATATATATATATATATATATATATATATATATATATACATATATATATATATATGTATATATATATATATATATATATATATATATATATATATATATATATATATATATATATATATATATATATATATATATATAAATGTGTTTCGAGGGACGTAGGGTAGCCTAGCCACGGCTCTGCATACATACATTTTTTTGGGAAGCCTCCAAGCTACTAACCATGACACTGTGTTTATGATTGTTTGTATAATTAAAAATAGGAAAAATAATAGAAAAGAATAACCTCCAAAATTACCAATTTTTACCTTATCTACAGCGTTAATATTACAGTTTCCATCATTGAGTAGTGAGTGAACTAGCTCAGGTTTATTGTATATAGTTGCCCAATGTAGTGGTGTACACCCACACTAATGATAATAGTAATAACAATACACCCACACTTACTGTAATAAGTTACAGTGTACTAAGTAAAATAAATATTTTGATTATATTTACTTTTACATTTGAGCATAAAAATTTTTTAAAAATAACATAAAGTTACTTCATCTTTTGTGTTGATGTTGGCACCATATTGTAATAATTGTTTTACTAGGACAATATCGTTTTCTTTTACAGCATCCATTAACGCTTCGCTTAAGGTTGTTCGAAGTATATCTTTTTTCTCCTTTGACTAATTTTCAAAAATTCACACACACAAAAATGGTTTAATAATGTTTATAAAAACAATTTAAATTTTTTACAAGAAGCTATAATAACTTTAAATTTAATAGAAACAACATACCCTTGGGCTATATACAGTAACAAAATCATCCTCAATTTTGCTAATTCTATCCATGGTAACAATGTTACGATGACAATATATAAACCGATTGTGATTGAAAATATTTTATTTACAGTTATTAATTTTTTGTTTTGTAATTTGTAAAACAATAAGTGCGATAATGGAATTTATATAATAAAAAGTACTTTAATTCCCTGAAGGACCGCAAATAAATTGTTTTGATTTGAAGTTAATTACGTTACTGTTATACTCTTGGACAGTATTTACAAATTTCAAAAACAATTGTGATTTTCCATTACAAATACTTTATCTTTTGTTTTGATATAAAAAAACATTTTTATTGTTATATCATCTTTAAACGTTATATCATTATGTTATATCATCGTTATATATATGTTATCGTTACATCGTTATATATATGTTATATCATCTTTAAACGTTATATCATCTTTAAATCATCTTTAAACGAGTTGAAAATTTTAAGTCAACAAAATTTTGAAAGAATTTATATGAAATTTTGAAAAATTTTGAAAGAATTTAAAAATACATTTAAAATACATTTAAAAAAAAAGTTAAAATAATGATTTTCTTATTATCTTGCTTAGTTTCATTGCAAAACATTCACTCTCATTTCACATTTTGTAAAATGATTTAAACTTAAACATGCGGTTCTGAAGCCAATTTGTTTTTTTTTTTAAAATAGGAATTATGTGAATTTACTTAGTTATAAAGATGTCAGTTGTAACAGATGTCGAATGTAACAGTTTAACAATACAGAAAATAGCCAAATTTTTTTTAAAGTAAACTATAATACAAACAGCATCATTCTTCAGTTATGCTGTTAAACTATATTTTTCAATTTAGATTCTTTAAGAGAATGCTTTTTAGCGAAATCTGTAAGAGTTTTTAAAACTCTTACAGATTCCTCTCAAACAGATTCCAGAATCAGATATATATTTCAAAAAAAAAAAAAAAAGTTTTTCAAAGTTAAACAAAAAAATTCCATTTAATTATACCTATATAAGACTGAACTTTACATATTAATTTATAAACACTGCGATGTGTATTACTTTTTTACTCAGGTTTTCAGTTGAAGTTATTTTTACTCCATGTTTTTTAAAACCTTTTTAGTATATTAACCGTTAGATAAAAAACCATTCAAAACGAATTAAAAACGTTATTTTTTTTACTTTTGACCTATTTTCTTTAACTGTGAAACATATAAAATGAAACTCATATTTAAAAAATAAGCTTATCATTTCAACATCCTTTCAAGTTTAATAATCATTAAATATATTCATAATTTAGGCCAAGATATAGTTTGAAAAACTTTATAAATTACGATTTTATTAACGCTAAAGAAGCTTTTTTTAAAAAAATAATTGTCTTTAAACAGGATTTACTAAGAGCGTTCTTTAAGGGTATTTTTATTTAAGTTTTTAAATCTACAATTAATTCTACATTAAATCAGCTGGTTGAAGCTCTTTCGATACATTTTTTTTACATTTAATCAATCACGTGCATTAGTAAATACAATTAATGTTGTCAAAAAGGACTTTATATGTATGTTTTCATATATATATATATATATATATATATATATATATATATATATATATATATATATATATATATATATATATATATATATATATATATATATATATATATATATATATATATATATATATATATATATATATATATATATATATATATATAAATATTTGTTATTCACCTCCTCAAGGCCGAGAAGGCCACTACAGACGAGGATGCTACTTAATAGTGGTTATAACCCTCTCTCAACTCTATAACCCCGAAACGCGAACCTTGACGAACAAGGCCGCTGCGCGGAGAAACAAGCTGAGTGCGGTACAACCAAGGACGTGGTGGGGATCGAACTCGGAACCTCTCGCTTATGAAGCGAGTGTTTTACCACTACACCACTACCGCATATATATATATATATATATATATATATATATATATATATATATATATATATATATATATATATATATATATATATATATATATATATATATATATATATATATATATATATATATATATATATATATATATATATATATATATATATATATATATATATATATATATATATATATACATATATATATATATATATATATATATATATATATATATATATATATATATATATATATATATATATATATATATATATATATATATATATATATATATATATATATATATATATATATATATATATATATTAGAGGAAATTTTTAAATCTAAAATACCAAACGCTCTACATTTGGGGAAAATGCTTAAAGAAATAACCCCTTAAAAATATAAGCTCAATCGGACCACCAGAGCCTTACCTCAAAAACATTTTTGCGATTTTGTAGTCTAAAGTGAGAGTTAAATAAAATAACTTTTTGAATTTGTTTTACGTTTATTTTTAGCTTTTTATTCCAGTAAAAATAGTATAATTTTTTTTTTCGAAAAATATATATATTTTTTTTTATACTTTGAATAAAAAATAAATAACACGAAATTTTAAAAAGCCAAAGAGCAAGGCAAGAATAATGATAATTTCTATTCCTATTTTTGTATCTTTACTTTTTATATCTATTTTTAATTTGTTTTCAGTATTGTAACAAGTTGAAATCATTTTAAAAGTTAGAACTGCTTTTGCAATATTTATTTTTTCTTCAAATGAAAAATATGTAACAGAGCAAGAGGTTTCTTGAATTCATTCTTGAATCTAAATTCCACCTATGTTTGTATAGAGAGTTTTAAACTACATCGACAGCATATGGTTTAGCACTACTTTTTTTGTACTGTTGCAATTGATGTACTGTTGCAATTGATGTACTGTTGCAATTGATGTATTGCTTTTATATCAAGAAAATGAGCTCCAATAGCGTCATTAGACTGTAAATACCAAAGTCAAACTGAAAATTCACATATTAGCCTGGTTTTTGTTTTGAGTTAATTGTTTTGGTTTACAAACTCAAGTTGGTAAGAAAGAAGCTGTACTTTGAATACAGTGCTTTGGATAAGAACCTAGCATGATGAACTACTCCACGATTTCTTAGTTTTACTAAAGATGAAGAAAGATAACTCAAAACAAGTTCTTCAAGCCATTTAATATCTTCTCTGATAAAATCTTTACTTCCTTTTTTGATTCAAGGTTGTACTTCTTAAGAAGATTCATTACACCATTTTACTTGTCTTCAACAAAGTATGTTGGTAAAGTAGGTACTCCAAGAAAATGTGTCTCACCATTAGTAATTACAAGAACAGCCAGTCAATCATATTTAATTATTTTTCCTTTTTTTAGTTCAATTATTGTTTTGCCATCAAAATACACGATATATGGATATGGGGATTCATTCGTTACTTATTAAACTTTTTTTTTTACGGTTATTCTTATTTTATGATTAGCATGTTTCATTTTTCTTGCTGCTGTAGACTGGCTGCATTTGAAGTATGTTAGATCAACTCCTGATTGAGTTAAAATTGCACATTTAACTTTGTGCAAAACATATAGAGAAGTATGATCATAAGTTTACCACCAAAAATATCTATGGGAATTTCAGCAGTAACTTTTTATTAAAAAGGTTCTCTTTTAAACCAATCACCAGAATCAAAATTAGAATAACACGAGATGTCACTTCTAATATCTTTATTTATTACAAAATTAGATGTACCCTTTAATTTTGAATGTGGTTGTTTAACTTGCAGTTTCTTCTTTCTGTTACTTTCTGTTTCGTAAAAAAGTCTAAAAAAGTTACTATACATAAATTTAATTATATGAGAGATGGAAATAGTGAGTGAACGCAACTATTTTTTTAATGAGCTATTTTTATTTTAAACCTTTTTAAATGGCATGTAGATGGTAATCTTTCTTTTTACTATTTTTTTTTTTTTTTTTGGTTTAAAATAAATACTTTTTTTTTCTGCACTTCCTATCTTCTGATCTAAGGATAAACGTTTTTCCCACTTCCTGGTCCTTCAGAAACTGTCAAATCTGCAGCGGATCCATTTTTTCATGTTTCTTAAAATTTGAATATTCATTATCCCAAATCTTTGCCAAAATACGGCCACATTTACTTTATACTTTGGACTACTATAGCCGGTCCACGTCAGATTCCAAGTTAATAGATATTTTTAAACTTTATAGTAGATCTACATTTCAAATTTAAAAAAATGCAAGTTCTATATAATTAGTATTTTCTGGATATCTGGAAATATAGTGGTGGATATCTGAATATCTATGGATATCTGGATTATATACGGATATCTGGAATATATATGGATATCTGGATTATAAATGTCTGGATTATGGAGTATATCTGGATTATGGAATATATATGGATATCTGGATCTGAATATATATGGATTCTGGATATATAGTATTTTTTGGTTACGTAAAACTGTTTTCAAATATTATAATTTTTTTAAAATACAAAAAAAAAATGAAGTGAGCAAAAAAGTGAGAACTTGGATTTACATAACTTCATTAAATATAACATATTTATTAAAATGGAACCTAACGGTTCAGAGTATTACCATTGAATGGGAACCCAACAGATCAGAGTTTTGTATTTTGTAAATTGTAAATTAAAAAACGTAAGATATCATTGATAACATGAAAGTTGTAATTAAGAAATGTAAGATGTAATTGAGAAAGATTTATAATATTGATACTCCGAACAAAGTTTTTTGTATTTTTAATTTTTTAATTAAATATATTAAAAATGATAAATAAAATTAAAAATGCAAATGGAAAAATGCCATTGGATATTATTTGGAATTGTCATTTTTTTAATTTAAATTGAGAATTCTGATGAATAATAAATAAAAGAAATAATTTATTTACAAAAAAATATAAGATTTAAATTAAATTTAAACAATGTCATTAACAATCACAAAAACGCTCAGTTAAACACCGATTTGGAGGTCTACCATATTTAAAACCGTTGCGTAATGTGTGGTTATATGTTATACACTAACATACAAGCACACATTACATTAACAATTTTAATTGTAAGAAAAATTGTAAATATCAGGTTTACAGTTTTTATGATTGGAAAACAGTCGAGAAAGTACTTGCGAATCTTTGAAAGAAATTAAAAAGCTTCAAAAAAATTGATGTAGGCGAAACTGTCACATTACTGATTGAAGTTCAAGATTGCAGATTAGAAAACAGCGACACATTTTATGATATTAAAAGAAAGCATGATATGACAAATTGTACTATTAATTTAATTGCAATGAAATATCAAAAAGATTTGGGTAGATTAGTTGTATAATCTAGTTCTTTTTAAAAAAATTAAGATTCTGTAACTTCTTTAAATAACTTCTACTCAGTGGAAAAAGTAGAATTTTTATTAAATAAAGAATTTGGAACAAATAAAGCTATGAAATCGTTGCTCTACAAAAGGTATAGAAATTCTTATCCGTATGAGAATAGATCGTGGCCAGGGATCTTTGAAACTTATAATGAATGTTTTTAATAGAGAGTTGAATACTGATTTCAAAGAAACCAAGAATACTCGTATTAACAAATTTCTAATATTGTCTTTTGCCAAAAATGTTAGCGAAAGACACATCAATCGTCAAATTCTTAGAGATGTTTAGAGAGAGAGAAGCTCAACAATTTAAAGTTCTCCTTGGCAGCAGATCTTAAATTACTTTACATAGTTGTGGGTTTATCAGGGCATGGAGAAAAAATATTACTGTTTATTTTATAATGGTAATAGAAATAACTGTGAAGAACTGAGAACCTTCAATATGCTGAAAAACTTGTATAAAAACCTTACTGAAAATGGATCCAAAAAATGTTCCATGCAACTCTACAAGAATGTTATACATCCATGTCTTCTGGTTGAGATTAAAGAGATGTATGTACTTTATGAATTTCCTTCTTCAGAACATCGTTTAGTGATTTCAGATGATTTCAAGTTTCTTGAGTAAGGAACCTGATATTGTTGCCTGTTTAAAAAAGCATGGAATTATTTGGCATAGGTATAATCGAGGCGGACTAGATGGCAGAAATCCTAACAAAATTTTGAATAGTTTTTCTTCTTATCACCCAGTTGTTGAGCTGTTAAAGTTATTTTCTGTAGGTAAATGTATTACCGTAAAATGGGGTACCCACGGTGCATAGGAACATGCTCTGAGACCTTGCAACACATCCCCAGAATTTTTTTTATTATTTATTATCAGCAGACTTTTCCTAATTTCAAAAATGTAAAAAACAACTTTTTTCACAGGGGGCCTAGGGAGAAATCACGTATTTTAGGCGAGTGTCTAATAATTTTGTTGTTCAAGATAGGTAACTAAGAATTATGTGGCATACTCAAACTTTAATTATGTATCAAAAGAGGATGAATTGCAAAAAGTTTAGGTAATTGGAGCTAACCCAACCCCGTCCCGACCCCTAATTGCCCCCTTCCTAGAACTACTTCTCCGACAATAATGATTTTTTTTTTTAAGTTGTATTATAAATTAGACCAAAATTTATCGACAGATTTCAAGTTTCATCAAAAAATATCTTTTCGTTTAAAATTCATGACCATAAGAAGTTTAAAATTCCACAAATTTACCCCCTGAAATAACTTTGAGTGGTTGTAACTTTTAAACTAGAAATTTGTTTTTAATGAAATTTAAAATCTGTCGATGAATTTTGATCTAGTTTAATATAAAAAAAAAAAAAATTGAAAAATTCTATTAAGGAACCATACACTAGGGGTGGGTTTTTTTCAACTGCGTTTTTTAGTTGTAAGCAACAACTGCGTTTTTTAGTTGTAAGCAACAACTGCGTTTTTTAGTTGTAAGCAACAACTGCGTTTTTTAGTTGTAAGCAACAACTGCGTTTTTTAGTTGTAAGCAACAACTGCGTTTTTTAGTTGTAAGCAACAACTGCGTTTTTTAGTTGTAAGCAACAACTGCGTTTTTTAGTTGTAAGCAACAACTGCGTTTTTTAGTTGTAAGCAACAACTGCGTTTTTTAGTTGTAAGCAACAACTGCGTTTTTTAGTTGTAAGCAACAACTGCGTTTTTTAGTTGTAAGCAACAACTGCTTCTTTTTAGTTGTAAGCAACAACTGCGTTTTTTAGTTGCAAGCAACAACTGCGTTTTTTAGTTGTAAGCAACAACTGCGTTTTTTAGTTGTAAGCAACAACTGCGTTTTTTAGTTGTAAGCAACAACTGCGTTTTTTAGTTGCAAGCAACAACTGCTTCTTTTTAGCGCTTCGATATAGTTTTCAGATTAATTCTCAGATTGCTGTTAAAAAACTAATTGCAAAACGATGATAAAAAATTACTGTTAATTACTGTAAAATTATTTACTAATTACAAATTTTTTAATTAATTACCGTGTGCCTTTGACCGAAGTTGAATTTTTTGTTTCAAAATGGTTTATATTTAGTATTTATTTGTTATTTAGTCTAACATATTTATAATTATTTAGTACAACTTATTTATAACTATTTAGTAAAACTTATTTATAATAGTCTTTTTTTTTTCGTTGTTCGTTATTACAATGTTTAAGATACAAATACAAATATACAAGAGAAAAATTACAAGTAAAGATATCGTAAAAATAAATAAATATAAATAAATAAATAAGAACGCGGATACTCAAGAAGACCATCAGGTCTTCAGAGAACAACTAATGAAAAACTTGAAACTTAAAATTTATACAAAGCATATAAGTTGTTATACAAATAAATTAAATTGTTAAGATTAAAAAATCCTTTTACTATTAGAAAGTATAAATAAACAAAAAATATACAAGTATTTGATTTAATAAATAAAAAGAAAGTAGACACTCGCAGAAGACATCAAGTCTTCATCGAGAATTGCTCGTAAATTTATCAAAATCAAATACATACATACATGGTCAAGTGTATAAAGCACAAGAAAAATTTAAGTGCATTCACTGCATAATAAATAAAAAAGTAAATTATTCAATGTTTAAAAGAAAATGATTTCCTTAAACTTATTTTTGAACTCCATTCCAAAAAAAAATCAAAATGTTTTAAAACTATTTTATTTCAAAGAGAAGCTCTACGAAATGAAATGCTTGATTTTCCAAAATTAGTTTGAAAGAATGGTTGACGAATTAAATTATCATTTCTTAAGTTGTATTTATTTTTATCTTTTAAGGTATATAAATTATGAAAGAAACTGTGTTGGATAATTTTACATTTGTACATAAAACAAAGAATATTTAGCTAATATATATCAAGATTTTTCATTTTAAATAAAAGCGGCTTGGCATGAGTAAATCTATCTTTAAAATTAATAAGACGAGCAACATGCTTTTTTTGACGATAAAGAGGCTTAAGTTTGAATTTATTAGCATTATATCAAGCAATATTTGCATAGTCTAAATCTCAATGGATAAAGGAGTAATATAATTGAGTTAAATTATGTTTATTTAAAGCACTTCTAGCTTTATACAATATTCCTATACTTTTAACAACTTTATTACACAAGAATTCTATGTGATATTTCCAATAAAAGTTTTCATTGATATATTGATATAGAAACCCAAAATTTTTTTATTAATTACTCTTTTTATTAGAATTTTGTCAATAAAAAGTAATGATAAATTGCAAGGCAGAAGTTTTTTTTCAGAAGCTGGATGAAAAGTATCCAATTAGTTGTTTCAACATTAAGTGAAACTTGTTTATTATATATCATTCAGAAATTTTTGACGGTGGAACGTTTTTTGATTTTTTCCTGTTTATTGGGCCCATGAAGTAAAAAGGTGCCGATCTACTACTGATATAAAAGTATGTACTTTAGAACAGGTACACCATAACGCATTAAAAGTTTTTAAAATGGTTTATCAACTCAAAACAACCACCAGCTTCAAAATACAATGTCAAGATCAGTATTAAAGATAAGATTAAAAACGCTTAAACAGCATGATGACCATAATTTAAATCAACAAAAAAATATTTTTTTGTAGATATAAATAATTCCACAGCTTTCTTGTGGAATCACGTGACTTTAGGTGTATCGCAAAATACTATTTAGACGAAATCATAACTTGTTGACTTAGTAAAAATAATAATTTCATTTATGCTTTGTAACAAAATCTTTTTTTAAAACTTTTTTTTTTGTACGTTATCATTGCTGTTTTTTTTGATTCAATGCATTTTTAGTCCCTTGTTAACTTGTTAGTGGTGATTACTGATTTTTTCGAACTCTAAAATTTTTTGCATTCATAAAATGTTTACAACCTCTGAAATTTGTTGAACTTATAAAATATTTACTTGCAGAAATTGAGTGTCTTTACTTCTAGAAATTTACTATATATATAACGAAATTGTTTAATCGGTAATTGTTTATTTCGGAGGATCCATTTTACAAAAATAATAAGAGTGAAATGTCTAATAAACAAACAAAAAAGTAGCATGTCATTCTCCAATCTAAAATCTAGAGTGTTAACCACAGAGAGGTTTACAATCCCTAGAGTTCACATTCCAGTTTTGACCACTAAAAGGTTGTTAAATTTCAATTAATAATCATTTAGTGTTCAAAAACTTGTGACTTTTTATTGAATTTTTTGTCTCAGTAAAGGCTTTATGCATTTTCCAAATAGCTTTCTGTTAAGTGTCGGGAAAATTTCGACGGTATTTGCGCTAACTTTAGTTAAAAGTTTTAAGATAACTGTTCTGCGTTATAGAAGAAATTCACACCAACCAAACATTTTTTAAGTCCTTGTGTTTTCAATAAACGTTTATTATGACATTTTTTTCTATAACAAGTTATTAACGGATATTAATTTATAAATATAATAATAAATTATTAAGTATTAAGAAACAACTTTCATTAAATATAATTTAGAGATTATATACAATATAGAGATTCTTTTTCTGAACGACGTAATTAGATTTAATGTTTCACGCTTTAAATATAACACCAAAAAAACAAAATACAAAAAAAAATTAGCAGTCATCAAACTGACCCTCAATTACCTCAAAACTTTTAAAGTTCTTAGATACAACTTTTAATTGCTCGCATTTTTTATAAACAAAAGAGTCATATGAGGCAACTGACGTAAAAGCCTGACAAGCGGGAGGGTAACGATTTACACTATTTTGAAAATCATCAATTATATTCGAGTTTACTTCTTCACGCATGCTGCACACGTTAATAACATTATTATAATTGTTATTATTTTCTATCTCTGAGTCCCAGTCTTCTTCACCAGGATTTGAAACTTTTGGCTTATTTTTATTTGCTAACGAAACATTGAAATTCATTGCAATCCATTCGTCGTTGTTTACTTCAGCTTTTCTATCACGACTAAAGAGTTCTCTCGGCTCAGCATCTAAAACAAATATATATCCTTAAGTAAACTTTGTTTACTGCGCGAGTATCAGTGTTGCAAATTTTTTTTTATTATGACTGGTTGTAATTATTTTGTGGCACTGTGTATATGAATTATTATGACAGGCTTATAATTATTTTATGGCGCTGTTTATATGAATTATAATGACTATAAATTATAATTATTATTATTCATTATTATTGCTGCTCATTATTTTTTTTTTATATGAACTGTTTATATGAAAAAAATTTATGCGACAGTTTCGAGAAGTTTTGAAAAAAAAGTACTATATTTAAAATATTTCAAGACGAATATAATATCATACCGAGATCTTAGTATAGATCTGACTAAGATATGTGATAACAACAGTAGTAACAACAGTATTTTAAATATGTGGTATAATAACAACTTTCAAGTTACAAAACCATTTAAAATAGAAAATTAAAAAAAAAAATATTTAAGTATAATTTATCATTTATAAAAAAAAATATTCAAGTATTACACAGCACAACTAATGGACAATAATAAACTCGATGGTAAACGGATGCTTACTTTGAGTGTTCGTATAGATTTTAAGAGTATATCTAAAATAAACCAACTTCTTTAAAAAATAATAAATAAATGTCGAACGTACACGATAATCAAGTCTATAAACTTACGCCCCATTAGCGGTGTATCAAAAATTAAAAATTGATTTGTGTGGTGTATCAAAAATTAAAAATTTGATGCAAAAAAAAATATATATATTAAAAAAGTGACATCTGCTTAACCCTTAGGGGTCGTCCATTAATTACGTCATACTCTAGGAGGGAGAGAGGTTAGTGGTTTTGTGACGAGTCATACGCGACTTGTTACTTAAGTGTTTCAATGTTGTGACGAGAGAAGCGGGAGGGGAGGGGGTTAAAAACGGTCAAAAATTGCGCGACGTAATTTACAGACGACCCCTTCCAAGTTCCAATGTCTTTTATAATTTATAATTAATGATTCGATGGCGATCACAAATAATACTAAATATGTATTATAACTTATATATTTTTTTAGATCTTAACCGTTTTTACATTAACTATATCACTTATATTCTTTATATTTTCTAATAATTTACAACAATTTCTAATAAGTTACAACAAAACTCAATTTATACAAAAACTTCGTGCAATAACAAAAAAATGCTATTGTTCAAATAGTCGCCATATAATTGTTATTTAGTTCGTTATAGCCATATTGGCGCTATTTACTGGTCATATCGATTGTGGTATCGGAATGTTGTTTTTTTTCTTTTATGCTAATTCAATTTTCTTCCAATCATTCTCCCCCTCTTTGATAGACTCCAGTCTATCAAACATTTTTAATTATCAAACTCAAGAAGACACAATCTCGTCATAGTTCGTATAAATTCTTTTTAGCCAATGTTGACTTTCACAACTCTTACACGTCCATCTTTACCTTCAAAGACTTCCGTAATTCTACCTAGCGGCCAATGTCCTCTAGGTGTATCTGGAGAAATTAATAGCAAAATGTCATCATTTTTTATTTTGCGTTTTTCTTGATTCTATTTATATCTTTTAGATGAGATGGAAGCCATTCTCGCATCCACCGTTTACAAAAATGACTTAGTAGTTCTTACACTCGACGCCAGCGCTTTTTTGGATGATAGCATTTAGATTGAACTGAGTTAGGTGGGAATTGTCCACCAACTTGCCCAATCAAAAAATGATTTGGAGTTAATAGAATATCATCTTTTATATTGACACTCTGATACGTTAGTGGGCGAGAATTCAATAAATTCTCAGCACCTGTAAATGACGTACAGAGTTCTTCATCTGTAATATAGGCTTTTTCGAGTATTGCAGTCATTGCACGTTTGACAGCTTTGACCATTATTTTAAATACACCGCCAAGATGAGGTCCTATCGGAGCATTAAAGTGCCACTTGATTCCTTTATCAGCTATAGAGTTAGTAATTTTATCCTTATCCTGTTAATAATTGATTTGTTCCCATCACATAATTGGCTTTGTCATGGTAATGTTTAACAACCAATTTTGTTATTGTATGTCCTCTCGGCAAAATGATTGGATGCTTGACATCGTACGGTAAGTAATGGGCATTGTGCAATCGACTACAAAATCGCAATAATCCGTCTTCGTCAATTTGCGGATTTAAAGAAATAATTTTGCTTGATATCGATATCAGTTTTTCTTTTTCAATGTTGCTATATTCTTTTTTAAAGCTTTCATTTTGAGCTTTAGCTATGATTTCTTTACCGCTTTCATGATATTCATCAGCTGCTATATCATCCTTTTTACGAAAGCCCGTTTCAAATCGACAATTTCCTATAAACCGATGGATCCAGCTGTTTATCCTGACAAGTTTTCTCCAACATGAGAACTTGTTTATATCAAGCAATTGCTTTGTTACTTCAGCGGATAATGCAAAATTCTTTAATACTGGATTTTTCTTTACTTCAATTGAAGCCTCTTGTGTCACTTCAATGTGATTCTGTGGCCATTTTTCTTCTAAAGAATTAAGGAAACTTGATCCATGCCACCATAAATTATTACTTTCTAATTCTTTAACTGTTGTTCCTCTTGTTAGTAAATCAGCTACATTAGTTTTTGTTGGTATGTATCTCCATTGTTTTAGTTCACTCTTTGATTGAATTAATCCAACGCGGTTGGCAACAAATGGTTTCAACTTTCGACTTTGATTTTTTATCCACCATAAAATATTAAGACTACCACACCATATAGTTACGTCCTTAGTTTCCAGCTTCAATGCTTTGACAATCTTCTCTGCAAGTCGTAAACCGAGGACAGCTCCAAGTAACTCAAGTCTTTGTATACTAATAGATTGCAATGGGCTTACTCTGGCTTTTGACATTATGATCACACAGGTCATTTCTCCTGTGTCATATAAACATTGTTGATAAGCAACAGCACCGTAAGCTTTACAAGATCCGTAAAAACATGGATTGACCTATTTGTAACTGTTGAAGTTGTTTGTAAACATCTGGGAATGTTTATTTTTAGGAGATCGTTTAGTTTTTGAAACCATTGATCAACATTATTTGCATTCCTATCCGGAATTGCATCATCACTCAATTCCATCAATCCACAATTCTTGCATAATTATTTTGTATCGAATAATATATGGTGCTAAAAAACCCAATAGATCGAACAACGTTGCCATTTTTTAAGCAAAATTCGTTTTGTATATACCGTATTTTCTTTGGTTGCAACAGAATGAAAACTAAATAAATCAGGTTTTGCTGACAACTCCAAGTGTTTTCATTGCAGGCAATTCTCCAGAATCTAAATTTATATGTTCTTCACGATCATTTTCTGGTGTTATTTTAAAAACTTCGACTGAGTTTGAAAGCCACTTTCGTGCAAACATTCCTGATGAACCCCATAGTAGCATGAGTTCCTTGTATAATTGAATTCCTACTTTTTCATCAACTACAGATGTTATTGTGTCGTCCATGTAAGTTGCTTCAAAAACAGCTACTGAAACCAAAGAAAGTTTTCTTGCATACTTTCTTGCGTGTTCTTGCGTTAAAAATTGAGCCATGAAAGGCGGTGAGTTGATTCCAAATACCAGTCGATTCAAATGAAATACCTCAGGCTCAGCAGTTGGATTTAGGTTTCTTCATAAAATTCGTTGGTACCTTTGGTCACCTTTATTTCAATTTTTAAATACATTTCTGCTATATCACAAGCTAAAGCCACTGGGTATTTTCAAAATCTCCGCAAAACAGTCACAAGGTCTTGTTGAAGTTTTGGACCTTGATAAATAACATCATTAATTGATTTACCATTATATTTTGCAGACCCATCAAACAAAATTCTGACTTTTGTAGTTGATTTATCAGGATGAAGAATAGAAAAATGTGGTAAGTACCAACCATCTCCCTTTTATTCATTTTCTCCAAGTATCCCATTTCTTGATACTGCTTAATAATATTATTGTACTCTTCTCCAAGACTTTTGTTTTTTATTAGGCGTTTTTCCGTGTTTTGTAATCTGTTTAACGCCATTGTATAATTATTGTCCAAATGTCTATTATTTTTCCATGGTAATTTCAGTTCCTATCTTCCGTTCTCTGTTCTTAGGGAAGTAGTTACTATATTAAGGGCGGTAAAGTCTTCTGGAATGTCATCGTTTTTCTGAATTGCATCTCTTTGTCGCCTTCAATTTCCCATAATTTTTTAATGGTGTTGTTTGCATCTTCTATTTTTTTTGTACTAGATGTTATTTTCGTAAAATGGGTTTGAAGGGATCCACCAGTACCACCAACACATGTCCATCCAAGCAGCCTGAGTCGAGCCACTGGTTCATTAAATCCTCCTTTTACTTCATTAATGGCACAGTGCAGCTCAGCGTAATCCACACCGATTAGAATGTCAATTTTTGGTTTTGGTCCAATATTTGGGAATTCGATTTTTCTTAGATGTTTCCAACTGTTTGACAAATTTGCCCAATTAACTGCTTTTAAGTTTCCAGTTACATTATTAACTGTAAAAGCTTCCACTGTAATTTTTGTTTCTCCATTCAACGATACCAACTGAAATTCTACCGGCATTGTTTCAAAAGAATCAATTTTTCCGTTTATCATGTTTACAGTTATCTTTTCGGTTTTACCTTGCAGTGTAAACTCAGCCGCTACATCAGAGTTCAAATATGCCTTGGTACGTCAAGCAATGCATTTACCACAATTTTTTTTAATCCATTACGAAGAATAACTGGCACTGTTCTAAGAGATATGTAGTTCATGATTTGAATGAAATTGGATGTTCGACATGTGAGAATTTTCTAATATTGTGTCATTTTTCTTTGAAGTCTTCAGAAATTGTTTCATTTTGATTTCTTTTCTTGTGAAGCAAACGATTATGTGTATCTGTACAGCCGTCAATCCCACAAATTCTTGGTTCCTGCATTCTTTTGACGAATGGTTAGAATTCAAACCATTTTCCCATTTTTAATATTTTGATTTTGAAACGTTG